GAGAAAGATTTTTTCTTGGTAACATGTTATCCGCATCATCCAGAAAATACAGGTGTTTATTAACAGTTGTCTACGCAAAATACTTCAGATCCGTTGGCCGGACACTATTAGCAACAACGTACTGTGGGAGAGAACAAACCAGATCCCAGCGGAGGAAGAAACCAGGAAGAAGCGCTGGAAGTGGATAGGACACAGATTGAGAAAGCACCCAACTGCGTCACAAGACAAGCCCTCACATGGAATCCTGAAAGCCAAAGGAAAAGAGGAAGACCAAAGAACACATTACGCCGAGAAATGGAGACAGATATGAGAAAAATGAACAATAATTGGATGGAACTAGAAAAGAAGGCCCAGGACAGAGTGGGTTGGAGAATGCTGGTCAGCGGCCTATGCTCCATTGGGAGTAACAGGCGTAAGTAAGTAAGTAAGTAAACATGTTATCCGATTGTTATTTTTCTGAGAGAATAGTTTTTGGAATACACAAGCTCCTGTTTTTTAAACTTATACCAAAAAACAATAAATGAATACTTAGCTCATAATGTAATTGTACGACATCCGTTTTTATTGATAACCACTACTTTAAAATTATTCATCTTAACATAGTTTAAATGTGTAAATAAGTTAGTTTCATCAAAACAACCTAAATATTCATAAACATAAATTACTTATTATCTGTAAATGGAAAATTAATTTAATGTTAAGTGGAACTAATGAATAAAATAGTATTTCATTAAATAAGTATATATGCATAGTTCAGATGGAAGCAAGGGTTTAAAATAGATTTAAAATCTTACTAAAATGGTACCTGGATATAATATTGATTTATTGACAATGAAATTCTTTCAAAAAAAACACGACAGATTCAGTTGTTTACGTTGTGTTTACCTTCATCTATATAAAGTTCATTTAATGTCAATCAATAAAACTGTTATCCTACAACTAATATATAGTATCATTATGATACCAATATAAACTCAAATATGGTATATTTGACAATATTTAAAAGCACCTTAAATGATTTCATTGTGTTTCAAAACCTATGCAGTGAAGGAGAACACAACCGAGTTATATTTAGCACTAATTTGTGTTATAAAGTATATTTATCTCTAAGTATTTGACAAAACTCATTTCATGGTAAACTAAATTAGACATCATGGCAACATACATAAACTTTTGATCATACCTTCCAATCTAATAATTAAGTTTTTTCAATGAAAATATGCTTGACTTGATTAGAAAATTAATCAACCTTTACTTTTCATTTATACAGAGAGAGAAAGAGAGAGAGAGAATAAATACATCTAAATTTCTATTTGAATGAGTTTATAGCCCGTGTTATTGGATTAAAAAATGATGACTTTAATGGATAAATTTGTTTTCAGCAACAGAAATTTTTCAAGAGAGGAAAATTCTCATTTGTTTCATTGATCCATTTCAAACCCTAATTCTATCATCTAAAAATGTCTTTTGTTTATTTTGCCTTATATTACTCAAAATCTAATAACTGCTACTCACCTATAATTAATCATCGTTTAGATGTAATTCTATATCGCAAATTGTTGCTAGTTAGGAAAAGTATATAATTCAGAGTGAATTGAGATGTTATTTATACGTAATTTAGGAATCATCAAGAATAAACATACAAAACCTTATACCAATACACGTTCAAGATCTTTAAAGCCTGCAGATAAAACGATACATGGATTCAATAATTATAATTTAACTTTCTACATTTAGGGAAGCATTTTACTATCCAAAAATTTTTCAGACACTTCAATTTTTTAACCGTTTGGGATTTTTCAAGTGACAAGAGAGTGATTTTTTGAAATTAATATGTTATCACTAACAGAAATGTAAATACCTACAAAATTTCACTTTTCAAGATCACAATTCACTTGAAATTATATCAGCTCTAAGACTAATAAGTCAAGGCAGTTCTGTTGTACGGAGATGAAACTTGGAGAACTACAACAACCACCATCAAGAAGGTACAAGTATTTATAAATAGTTGTCTGCGCAAGATACTCAATATCCATTGGCCGGATACCATCAGCAACAGCCTTCTCTTGAAGAGCACAAACCAGCTTCCACCTGAAGAAGAAATTAGGAAAAGACGATGGAAATGGATAGGACATACATTACGCAAATCATCAAACTGCTTCACGAGGCAAGACCTAACTTGGAATCCTGAAGGAAGGCGGAAAAGATGAAGGCCAAAGAACACATTACGTTGAGAAATAGAAGCAGATATGGAAAGGATGAATAACGACTGGAAGGAGCTGGAAAGAACTGCTCAGGATAGGATTGGATGGCGAATGCTGGTGGGTGACCTATGCTCCTTCACGAGGAGTAACAGCGTAAGTAATGATAAAAGACTAATAAGGATCAATTTGACACTTGAAATAATCTAATATTATATAGAATGAACCACCACTGTTATAATCATTTCTTTGTGAATTATATACATCAAAATTTTATGATTCATTTAAACACTTCAGTGTAGCGTGGTCAACATGTTTGTCCTATTATAATTGTATTCAAATTAAATCTTGTGTTTCACCAAATCTAACTTAACTATACACGCGCCTTAAAGTAGTCACTTTTTTATTCAACGGAAAAGGATCGACTATCATCTTAAGTTAGCAAAAAATATGTAAAGGAAATAGATCATACACTTACTACATAAAATTATTTTTTTTAAAGATACAGAGTAATAATTTCAGGTCACCTATTGTGCTATTGAATCAATTGTTTTAACATTTAATCTATGAATTAGATCTGAACAATGGAATGTTATTGAAAGTGTTCGTACATACTTTGATTTAATTGACCTTATTTCATTTTCAACTAAAGAATTTCTTTTTTTAAAACTTATGAAAATAATAGCTAACTGATTTTGCATAACAAAATAATGATCATTGTTTATCAAACAACAAATCAAATTGTAGTTTTGTTTGCATTTTATATCCCGAATTACTAAATAAATGACAGTCAGTAGTAAATAGAAATTTATTTAAAACTATGGTTTGTCTCTTAGATACTTCGTAAAAATAAAAAAATCAACTAAAAGACTTTAGGGCACTTTAAGAAACACTAGGAAACACACAATATAACAGTATGTGGTATACTTTCACTCCTGTACCAATTCTTAAGAAAAAAAAACCATTTTTTTTATAATCCGACCAGTTTTTAAGTTATAACATTTGCGGTTATCGGTATAACCTTTGATACATGAACAACTTATAATTTCTTTTTTATGTGGTCAATCTGCATTAAGATAAAATAATAATAAATTGTTTTTTTAATCAGTATGTAATTTAAAAAAAGGTTGTATATTTAAAATGAATGCTATATTAGGCGTTCACGCGCGAGACTGAAGGCCCTGATTTCGAATCGCATGAGCGGAATCATGGATACGCACGACGGAGGAGTCTCAAAATATGATGGAACTGCCATCCAGTGCTTTCAGGTTTTCGATAGTGGTCTAACATCAATCGGTTCATGATCCTAATCAAAAATCAATTGGATTATTCTCGCAAAAAGAAACAGTTATCATTGCAATTTTTTCTTAATACTCTATTTTATGAAAACTGTTACCCCGTCAGTACGACAAAAATGTCAGAGAACAAGTAAAAATGGACGTTTTTAAACAAAATAATTTTATTTGAATATAAAACAATGTTATGAATGTTATTATACAGTCAAGATATTATTATTTAGTAAGGAGGTTCAATGAAAATATTGCGTAATTCCAATGTGCTTTTTAGAGCTAACTAACGTCTGCTATAGGTTTTAAGACAAGACTATGGACGCGAAAAGATATTGGTTAACGGAAATAATCGAGTTTGAATGGCACATTCATACTGCTGTAAATCATCATCCTGAATGAAGATTGTTATTTATCATGTCATTTGTGAGAATTCTAGTTGCTATACTCTAAACTTTGTGGCATCAGAGATGTATAAAAGTGCGAGATTAGAAAATATGATAGAACAGATTTCTATTAGTTTTTAGTTGTCAATTGTTCTTGACTAATTCGACTTTAGTGTAAACTTAGCTGCAAATAACTATGGATTTCTGAAATAAGTAAATGTTCGAGAATTTAAATTCACCCCATTGCATAAGCAAGTGGCTATCAAGACTCAGTAGCTCAGTGGATAAAGCGATGACGTTTGGAGCGAATGGTACTGGGTTCGAGCCCAGAAGTGAACATCAAATCTGAGATGCAGGTACATTCAGCTGACATCCCAAATAGGACGAAACGCGCGTCCTGGATTCCACTGCTAGCCACTATCCATCTTTGCTTATAAAAGCTTGTGAATTAAGGCAATATCGAGGCATACGCACAGTATGCACATATGCCAATAACGGACTGATCAATTGCAGTCTTAAACCTCAATGAGAAGGTACAAGCAAAACAATACCAAGTATTCGAAAAAATGTTGATTTTTATCGGAAAGAGCTTATTCTGTCGTAGTGGTTTAACAATAAAAAATATAGATTATAAATTTAGGATTGTTACCAAGTAAAGCAAGGGTTGTTTTTCTCTCTGCTACTTGCATTGAGCACAAGATTATTCCCTATATTTGAAAACAAAAGACATCTAGTTTTACAACAATATGCTAAACAATTTTATGAGTCATATAAACAACTCCAAGACAAATCAACATTTCATCCGTTCTTGGGAAGTGTCTGTTTCAAAGATTAATTTATATACACAACAAATAAATGGAAAAGTAAGCAAAGAACAATCCTAATTTAACAGCACTGATCATTTCTCATGAAGTTAACTATGATAACTTGATTTTTAATTGTAAAATACTAATAAGATACGATCTCCAGGATAAAATGATTGTAATATTTTCATAATAACATATCTATTAATATTGTTTTTTGATGAAACAATAGAAAGAATACGTTAGCCACTTGATTTTACAGCATAATTGGATATATATATATATATATATATATATATATATATATATAACTATTAAACTCGCCTGTAAGCAACTGTAATTGTCAAATACGTAGTAAAAAAACGATAAATAGCAGTAAGTGACAGTCAATGTATATATATTCACATAAATTCATTCATTTTTAAACACAGAATGAATGTTAAAACGTGTTTCAAACGTGATATATTAACTTTATAAATGTTGTAGACAAATAGTATGAATGAGGACCAATGTAATTGGTTTCTTTTCAAATAGTTGGGATCTTGATAAATCAACATTGATTAGGTTCAACTGAAAGAGGTCAACGCCTTTTTTTATTGCTTTCTAGTTTGGTGAAGCTTGTGAATAATTCACTGCATGATTATCTACAACATTAACAGATGTATTAACAAGTCGAGTATTCATTGTATTTACCGATCGACAACATTTCAATGGATGATTTTTACATAAACGATTTAAATCTGACAAAAATACACTTGATGTACAAGAATAAATAAAAAAATGTGTCATATGATTAATCATTTGTAATATTACTGTTACTCTTTCGATTGTATCACAGACATTTATCCAATCTTTATTGTCAATACAAAATTTCGATTCAAATAAATAAAAGAATACTACTGGCATTGTTAATAAAAAATGACTTATAGTCATACAAACTACTGTGCGTAATACTCGTGCAGAACGTTGTTCACGAGCTGATGACGACTTGTCTTTATGTAAAGTACGCGATTTTAAAGATGTTTGTTCTGAACTATCACTTATAAGTGCTACTCTTGGTATTATTGAATTTTGTGTGTTTTTTGTTGATACATTTGTAGTTTTCATCCTCCATATAATACTTATATTTACTAGTAGTATGAAAGCTAATGGAATAAATGAATAAATTGCAAAATCAATATACGGCCAGTATAAATGAAACGCTTTATACTCTTGTTTCGGTGCACATGAATTATCTTTTACATATACAGTCCATACATAGTGAATATTCACACTGGCCAAACATAATACAACAAAAATTAAAGCTGTTATTCCATGTTCTAATTTACACCATTGTTTAAATCTGATTGGAGTCCAAACACATACAGCTCTTTCAATACATAATAAAATGATTATCCATGTTGATAAATCTGTTGAAAAAGTGAACAAGAATAATGGTATACCACAGCCAAATTTGATACGTATATCCACCTTTTCATCAGTGATACCAATTATCCATTGTCTTAAACAACCATGTGCTATCACATATGTATCAGTCATACACATAATACCAATTAATAAACTTGTTGAACCAACTGTTGTAGATAAACGTCTTAACCAAATAACCATTGATAATAAATTACCGGGTATTCCAATAATTAAAATAATGATTGGTGCAACACTATATAATGTACCTAATGAATGATGTACTTTTGGATGATATTCTGTAAAATTACTATCAATCGATAATATCATGATGATATGTTATTATTATTATTGATTACCTTGGTATATTTTTAATTTTTCTTGGCAAAGACATTATCAATTAAAATGTAAAATGAATTTAAATAATGAAAAAAAATTATTTTCAAGTGGTGTTATATTTTAATATTTTTTTTTTAAAAATTGTAGCTGAATGTTTATAGTGGAAAAATATTTCCGATTTATTATTTTATCCAAAAATATTGACCAATGAAAAATAAATATTATCAACCAATAGAATTGTAAGTATTGTTGACAGATAATTTACCTAATTGTACAAATTATCTAGTTTTTTCTCCTTCTTCTTCTTCTTCTTCTTCTTCTTCGAAAAATTAGTTATTTTTCCATTAAACTGAAAGGTTTTTTTGTGATAGGGCTTTATCAGATTAGAATTAAGAACATCATTACTAGTTATTGTCTGAATTGTTTTATTATTTTTGAAACAAATAATTTCAGATCTGAAAGTGAATTTCAACTTACTATAATATCTACAAAACCCTCTTCTGATATTATTCAACAGATGTTGACTAGTGACTGGCTTCAAGAGGTATATCCTGGAGTTCTAATGAGAAGCTGTGACCAGTGGAGTTCAACCAGGTCTGTTGTGAGATAGTAACTCACTGATCACAATGGTGGATGTGTGGTTCACTCTCGTGGGTTAGTTGGAGTTGAACATCAACACCGTTAGATGCCGGCTCAGCGGTCTAGTGGTTTAGCGATCGCGCGCGAGACTGATAAGTCATGGGTTCAAGTTTCTCTAGGCAGGATGCGTGGGTGCGCACTGTTAAGGAGTCCCATAGTAGGGACGAAACGGCAGTCCAATGCTTCCAGGTTTTCTATAATAGTCTAGCTTCGATTGACTCGTGATCTCAACTATTTAAATTACTACAATATCCACGAAACCCCTTTTGATATTAACTCCAAGTTTGTCGATTTTTAAAGAAAAAGTTAATTATTTCAGCTTATTAATTTACTATTGTAGAAATGTGGTCGCTGTACTAGCACTGCTATAATCAATCACTTTAGTAGTCCATATGTAATAAAACGTTTGTGAATTCTGTTGATAATCAATAAGAAATAAAATTAGGAATCTATATTCAATAAAAATTATTTTAAAATGTTTCTGATACTTGTTATTGTTATCAAATGATTAAACTGTGGTTTGATAAAATCCCTCTTTTCATTTCAATCTAAATATCAGCAGTTAGTTTGTGATGCATAAATGGCTTCAATGTACACTTTATCAAATTAATAATCTGGTTCAATTTGCATGAAAGCGGCTAATTAATGATATGAAATTAAAATTTCGACAACTTTTAAGTGAGAAAATCAAAGTACACCTCCCAAATAAATATGGATTTACGATATTTTTCCATACGGATATAACACTTAGTCTAACTTAGTTCTGTATGATCGCTGAAGAAAGTACGTTTGTTGAATTGAGCAATTTATTTCAGGAAATTTGATGGTTTTATAAATACAGGAAACAAAAGTATGTTTTGAGTAGTTTATGCTTAAAAACATACTTTTGGAAATATTTTTCACGTCCATGATCCAATTATTGATACATATTTAAGCTTACTATGCAAGTACACACTATTTAGGAGTTTTCGAATGATAGTGAGAAGGACATCTATATCAAAGTCAATCATTATTTTCAGTGCTATTATACTAAATTTTAAATTTTGATTCACCATATCACTTTTTATAGCCCCTAGAATAAATTATATTTAGCTAGTCATTAACTAACGTACCTAAAGCCTATGTGTGTTTAGCGATTGTTGGTGATTGTTAGAGTTTCGGGTTAAATAATCTGATTTCAGTATCGACTTCCTACAATTAAATCCCTTTTATTCCACTGGTTAACAGTAATTTTATGTCCTTATAATTTATCTTCATTAGTAGTACCTACCAACACCTACATATGGGAAACAGTAAATATTTGAAACTGAAGATGATGGTATAGTCATTTACATATTACATAATTCTTATGATTTTAAATTGAAGTGAAGGAGTATAAAGAATAACTTGTTATCATTGACATTCTAATAACTATTAAAGATAAACACTAGATATTTTATGAAATCGTCCAAACAATATATGAACAATGAAAATATTTACAGGAAGTGAGCTATATACATTCCGATATATTCATCGACAAATAACCACTGATAATACTATTTACCTTGTTTGAAAATGATTGAGTAATACATAAGATTAAAAACGTGACGAATACTAAGTACAATCTTTTTCTCTCTCTGTAAATACCTGTTCAGTTTAATAATAATGAGAACGTGACAAAGTTTACAGTTATATTTATTTTTATTTATAATCAAATATGGTGCCATTTTACTTTTTTAATATATAGTTTAATGCAGAAATTTAACTTCATTATAAAAAAAAGAGATATGAATGATAATCGTATTCAGCATTCTTTAAAAGCCAACTAGATAGTAATTTATTACATTTAAACACTATTTTCTTTATTGGGTCTGTTAAACTTCATTTGAGCCTACCTAACGAGTAAGCAAGAATATATTATAAGTAATTTAAGTATGCGTTTCTACATCAACCATAATTTGTCATTATTATTTAGAGATGGAATGATTCTGAAAAAAGGCCTTGATGTTAATCAGATTGAAAACATCAATACGCTTGATAACAACTAAAAATAAAGAACACACAAGATTTTTTGATTGAGATCATGAACCGATAGATGTTAGACAACCACTGAAAACCTGGGAGCACTGGACGGCCGTTTCGTTCTATTGTGGGACTCCTCAGCAGTGAGCATCCACAATAGGACGAAACGGCCGTCCAGTGCTTCCAGGTTTTCAATGGTGGTCTAACATCAATCAGTTCATGATCTCAATCAAAAACTTAACAATCTACACAACCCCTAAAATGATAACTTAAAAGACGTTATAGAATCATAAATAAACAAAGAAGATTCATTGAATTTTCATTTAAGTTCGTATGATCCAAAGTTTGATATCAATTCTCTTCTCTGAAACGAGGCTCTCGTATTGAAAGCTGATATGTTTGGAAATAATCTAAGATATACATATCATATAGCTTTTTTAAGACACTAAAAAAATTGTTCAAATATATTATGTTTTAAAATTCATAGACTTTAAATGTCATTACTCGTACTGTGAAGAAACTATTTGAAAACTATTATTATTAACACTCTTCTGGTCTGTGATAAGCGAAAAATATCCATGAGTATGTGAGGAGAAAAAACAGGTTTTATAGTTTATATATCATGTCAGTACATTGTAGCTGTTCAGCTATGGCACAGCAACAAGTGCACCTAGTTACTCTTCATTTATTTGTGAGTGTTAAACTCCAAGAATCACAACTAAGCTGATTCCCGGAATAGCAAAGCTCCTGTATGATGCTTGACTGGCTAAACCAAACCTGTTTCGATTGTCATATAAAAGAACCAGAGGCAGTTTGGTCATAGTTTCTAAGTTACTTAGTGATTAATTTGCACCTCACTTTGAACAAAAACATTGTAAAAATATACACAAGCTAAGAACAAATTACTTGTTAGCTGGCTATTAACTCTCCCATCGAATCATCAAAGAATGGAATTCATTCTCTCAAAATGTGATGAACGTTCCGTCTATCAATGTTTTCAAAAAAAAAGAGTTGAATTCACTAAGAGATCATCATTGACATGACTAACACAAAGCCATCTAGACTCCTGTTCTTTCCAAACTAAAACTGAATCATTTCATGTAGACAAATATTATCACAATCTATTTACATATATATAAATTATTAACTTAACACTAATTCTAATAATCTGCACTTGATTATTTTAATAGAATTATTTAGTTGACATTTATTCGAATCAATTCAATGAAATCAAAATACAATGATATTTTCAAACAATTGACTTAGTCATTGAAGTAAATCCAAAACAAAATAAACAAATCATTCTTCTACATAACATGATCATTGATTCAATTTATTTACTATCTAAAAAAAAGAATTTCTTGTCAATAAAATGAACGGAATTAGTTGTTTTCTCTCTTTTAATTACAACTTCATTTGACTTTATTGATTGTTTTTCTTTTCTTTTTTCTCATCTTTTTTAAAAAAAATTTTATTTACAATCTTATTTTATTTATTTTTCTCTACATTTTTTTCGTTGAAGACGAACAAACAATTAACCAATTAAAAAAATTGTTTTGACAAAATAAAAAAATTATTCATATAGATTTATTGTATCAGCATACACAATAAGAATTGAGTATCAACATGGATAATGAACGAACTAGTTAAATAACTAGTTGAAAATTATTTAGTTACCTGTTAAAAAATAATTATTTTTCTTTTTCTTTTTCTTATTTTTTTCTTTTCTTCTTCTCTGTTATAATGTTTAAAACGAATCCATATCTTAGATTAACACTATATATCATCTTTTGTATGAACAAAAACCTTTTAAACATATGATACATTATTCAGAAGAGAAGTGAGTAAAGTAATAACATAACAACAAATAACAACAGGTTGTTGATTTGAAAAAAACAAATTTTTTCCCCTATTTTTTTCTGTAAACTTTTAATTATGTTTTTAATTCTTCAAATGATTGTCAGTTTGTTATAAGTTAAAGACAATTGTTTGTTAGTTTAAATGGTAAATTCAATAAGTGTTTATAATCTTACGTGTTTAATCGTTTAAAGATCTTCATTATATTTAAAGACTAATATTTGAACAAAGAATATTCATTTTTGATAAATTCTCTTCAGATTTTACAGTTATTAGATTCAAAATAATCCTAAAAAATGGTCAGGTTTTGGGGTAAAGTATATTGTTTATAGCATGTGTATTTAGGATTGTCAAAGAAAATAGGGTAAAATTGTTAATATTCATATGACATTTTCGTGCTTGTGAACACCTTCCAACGTAACTAAATAATGGTTTGATGAAGAAAGTAAACAGCTCGATATTAGCCCATTTAATACAAACTGGTCATAGTGTCAGTATAAACCAATTCTTCTCAATTACTTATAGGGTCAGTAACTTTTTGTCAAACTTGTCAGACTTGAAGTCTTGCAAACGGCTGAAGCTGTAGTCATCCGGATGAAGAAACCGGAACTATGCATATAGAAGAAATATCTTCAACCACTTCTCTT